AATGCGTGCGACCATGAGAATTGTTCATGTTGGGGCTGTATGACTGCGCCAGGAGATTTCTCCCTTTGGGAGATGGGGTGGTAGTTGTGTTTCAGAGCTGGAGAATGTCTCATAAAATTTTGGCAAGCAAACAGCAGTTAAAACGGATGGAAAAGCTTTTGGACCCAAAGTGTACTGTCAGCAGGATTTAGAGTAGGAGCCGGACTTAGGGGCCAGCAGGTATTTGGTGTTTAGCTTGGTGCTTCATGTGCTGCTTTCATCCAAGACCTCGTAGTACTCATATGTCATCGTTTCTCATTTGTGCAGGATTGCAGAAAAGGACAAACAGATAAAGCAGATGGAGGACTCGTTAGGCAATGAACATGCCAACTTAACCAGCAAAGAGGAAGAGCTCAAGGTACAATAAAAACGTGTGTAAATGCCAGCTGATACAGGGAGAGGCTCGTTGGCCGCGTGTACAAAATGAAGCCCACAAGGCTGCTGCCTTTGGGTCTAGAAACAGCTCTTTCAGCTACAGGTCTGCTGATTTTGCTCTTCTAGGCAAGGCCAATGCTGGGAAGCTGTTGATAAGAAAGCTCAAGTTTTTTTCTTGGTATTATCTCTAGAGTCCCTCAAAGTAACCTGAAATACGTTACACTGGAGAGTGAATTTACGTGAAATATGGACTCTATGCAAAGTGCAAATATATTTCTTTTTCTCCTTTCTTTAGGTCTTACAGAATATGAACCTATCACTGAAATCAGAAGTACAGAAGTTACAGGCTCTGACAAATGAACAGGTAAAATAATTGTTTCATTAAATATTTAATTTTGCTCTCTTCCTGCTACCTATTCTGTCATAAATGCAAATGCAGCTCTGTTGGCTTTAAGCAAGCTGTGCTTAAGCACATTAGTGACCCGGGCTAAAACGTGATTCCCAGAATTCTTATAGCTGGTGGGACGCCTACTTCTTATTCTGCTTTCACCAGCGAGATCTTTCTTACTTGGATATCCCAAGTTCCTGAAGCCATTTGCTTGGTTAATTGAGATTTGCAGGCATGTGATGTTCAGGATGCTTCACAGAACTGAACACAACTGTGCTGGAGGATGCAGGCCTGGCATTTGCATACAAGGGTCATAAACATCCCTCTAAAAAACCCCAAAAGCACACACCCCCCCGCCGCCTCACTGTAGACAGCATTTCGCTTAGTTCTAAAAAGATATCTCTCCGTTACTGCTGTGTGGCCTGTTCATTACAGAAGTGGAAAAGAAGTGTTTAATTAGAGATAATCCTGGTTGTCAAGTGAATCTCTTAGAGATATTCCTCCCTTTGCGTAATTGCATGCTTGCCTGGTATATATTGGTGTTTTAAAAGTGCATGAAGACAAGCTTACCCCTTTCACTCTTGCTAGTGAGTCATGTGCCGAGAGGCCAAATGACTTGTTCTAGCTTTTTAATATTGTGGAATGAAAGGTTGATTGAATCATGTGATGTATCCTAAGTCCGTGTTAATCCTCTTTATATCTAGGCGGCTGCTGCACATGAGCTGGAAAGGATGCAGAAAAGGTAAATAGCTCTGGGATTTGATAAACAACATTTGTCAGTCTTTTCTGTTCTTTTGAATCGATGCTTTTTGTAAGACTTGGATGAGGAAACTTACTTGGCTGTTCTGCTGTGTCTCAGCATTCACATCAAAGATGACAAAATAAGAACTCTTGAAGATCAGCTTCGGGAAGAACTTGCTCAGATTTCAAACACAAAAGAAGAATTCAAGGTAAGATACAGGATAGCTATTCTTATGCTTATTTGCAATAAGTTTTCCAGACTTCAGAGGTTGCAGAGAATTCATACAGTTGAATGTTGATTTGTAAAATAGAACTGACTTTCAGGCTTTAAGGTAAATTACAGTATTCTGTTCGCAAGGCAAGAGCAGTGTGAGATGTCACAATAGTAGCAACAGACTGTGCAGCAGAGTAAGAGATGGGGTGACATGAGTTAAGTGTGGTGTTTGCAGTTGTGAAGAGTGAGGTCTTTGAAATCTGGAAGGGGAGATGTTCAGTAAAAGCTATTGCAGTTTTCCTGCAATAATATTTTTTCCTGCAATAAACCGCCTTCTAATATGACTTTCCAGACCTTGGTGTGAGCCTTTGTTGCTTGGGTTATCATGTTGTCAGGTCTTTTTTTCTTCTGTCAAGGTAGGTGTAAAAGTGCTTATTTTTCTCCTGCCATCTTCCAAATTGTTTCTTACAAGGCTGCAGCTAAATTGCTGAAGCGTTTAGTTCTGACATCTGGGGTCTGTGCAGCAAAGCTGGTACGTGTTTCTAGATGGTGTGCACAGAGAGCAGCTGACCTCTTCCTTGCCCTCTGCCACCTTTGGCTTTTTCTTCTGAACTTTTAACTGTTGGAAATAAACCTACTTCCTTGAAAAAGGTGACAACTCCATCTTTTTAACTCCTTTGAAGCCCATGTTGGGTACTGCTGCTCTTCTGGTGTTGCTGGTGGAAGGTCACTCGCTCTGGATCTCATAATGTCACATGGGTAGGTTTGCTAGCGAGGAACAGAGGAGATGGGCAGTGGCAGAGGCAGCCGGCTTTTGTAGGGGAAGCCATGCCTTGTGGGTCTCCTGGTGGTCTCTGAAGGTGTTGGCAAGCAGGTAGTAAACTTGATTGACATATTAAAGTGGCACTTTTTTTCGAGGTTTTGATGAGCGTTCCTTGCAGGCTTCTGTACCTTCCCTGAGCTGTCAGAGAATAAGAGGGAAGAAGTGTGAGAGGGACTTTTTACGAGGACGTGTAGTGACAGGACAAGGGGCAATGGCTTTAAACTGAAAGAGGGGAGATTTAGATTGGATATAAGAAAAAAAATTTTCACTCAGAGGGTGGTGAGGCACTGGCACAGGTTGCCCAGAGAAGTTGTGGGTGCCCCATCCCTGGCAGTGTTCAAGGCCAGGTTGGATGAGGCTTTGGGCAACCTGGTGTAGTGGAGGGTTTCCCTGCTCATGGCAGAGGGGTTGGAACTAGATGATCTTCAAGGTTCCTTCCAACCCAAACCATTCTATGGTTCTATGATTCTAAATTTCCTCAATAATAGAATAGGAAACAAAGTACAACTTCAGTTGATTTTTGTACTAAAGGTATTGACTCAATCTTCAGTGAAGTCTGTGCTGGGTAATGAGTACGTAAACAGTCTGGAAGGGGGAGTGGGAAGAGGAGGCAGGCTTGAGTAGGTCGGTCAGTCTCAAGTTAGTGATGCTCTGAGGACTTTCAGCGTGGTGAAACATCTGAAAACGGCAGGTGAAGTGGTGAAAATGAATACGAGGAGGAATAATCTGAACTTCCTTCTATGTGATGGTTTCTGTAGTAACTGTTACCCAGGAAAAAGTCCTCAGAGGTGTTGTGGATGGCTATGTGCTGAAGTCAACTCAGTGCTAAATAATGGCAGCAATCATCTGGAGGCAATTCAAGGTGTTGGTGGTGTTGTGGTTTAACCTGCTGGCAACTAAACACCACCCTCCCCCACCGCCAGGGGATGGGGAAGAGAATTAAAGGGGAAAAGGGAGAGAGACCTGTGGGTTGAGATAAGAACAATTTAATACTACTAATATATTAATGTATATGTATAATGATGACAATAATATATACAAACAAGTGATGCCTGATGTAATTGCTCAGCACCCGGTGACCAAGGCTGGTCCCATCTCAGACTAACGATCTTGAAACAGATAAGTCCCGACACCGCAATCCCGGAGGAGTGAGAGGCCCAAAAAGAGGGCAAGAGAGAGAGAGCACTCAGAGTCTGAGAGTGAGAGCCCGTCTTCCCAGCTGACCCTCATTTTATACTGGCCATGACACTGCATGATCTGGAATGCTTCACTGGCCAGTTTGGCCCTCAGTCCCAAGTCTAAGTTCAAATCATAAGAGGAGTTGTGGACCCTCTGTCCTGGCCATGCTCCCCCCCAGCCTGATGTGCTCCTGCACACTGGCAAAACATGGGAAGCTGAAAAGTCCTTGAGACCTCAGTGCCAACTATAAACATCAGTGCGCTGTCAACGTTCTTCCCATAACAAATCCCAGACTAAAACCAAAACACAGAGCTCTTCTAGGTGCTAAAAAGAAGAACTAACTGTGTCCCAGCTGAAATCAGGACACTTGGGAGGTGAATGGAGAACGGAACGCAGATTGTCATCATCATGATACTGTGGAAATCCATAGTGTGCTCTCAGCATGACTACTATGTGCTCTTTTAGTATCTTCTTCCTCCTGTCTTTGATCCCAAGCATATGCCAGACTAGCTCTGTACTGAATGCTTCTACCTGAGGAAGTGCTGCTTTTTTCCCATGTGTGTGAAAGAGGGAAAAGCCAGGTTCAAAGCAGAGCAGTTCTTCTAATCCTCACTATTGCTGTCCCTTCCTGCTTGTGTTGTCCCTGTAAGGCTTTGAGTTTGAAGCATAGATCACATCCTGCTGTTTTTGTAAATGATCAAGCAAGCCTTTAAAAAGACCTTGTGAAACAAAAAGCAATAATAGGGGAGGATTTTAAAATACATATGAGGAATCTGTACAGGCAGCTTGTCTTAAGGGCTGCTGTGGGAATGCTGGCAGGGGGGCAGAGGCTGTGGTACGGCTCTTTGTCTTCCTGAGACATCTCTTTCCAGCCTACAGTCGGACCAAAGCACATGCCGGTTCCTTGCTGTGCATCCTTGGTATTAAGGCAGCCGAAGAAAACTAGGGAGGTGATCCTGGAGCATCTGCTTCACCAGATGAGTGTTTTGTAAGAGGCAGCTATCAGATCTTGACATGCTGCTGGTACTGCTCTAGGAGGAAAATGCAGTTTCTCTTGCCTCTCACACTCGGTACTGTCTGATCCTCTGCCAGGGAATAAAGATGGTAACAGCTGAATTTCTCATGGCAACATAAGGACAAAACTATTAATACGGAAAAGCAAGAAAGAGGGGGAAAGGACTCTTTGTAGTCTTGTAGCTTTCAAAGAACTCACTGTAACGACTTCTGTGCTGTTTAATTATCTCACTGCCGAAATGAAAATGCGGTAGTTATCAGTTCAGAATTTGAAACCCTAAAATGTTTAAATTTCCTTCCAGATTCTCAAGGATCAAAACGCAACTCTGCAAGCTGAAGTTCAGAAGCTGCAGACTCTCCTGTCTGAGCAGGTATAGCCAGTGTTTGCTGTTGTGGTATCAAATATTTTCTGTTCTTTTTAACTTCAGTATTTTTTTTCTTGAGCTGGCCCTGGGCTGAGCTGGTTGGTGTCAAAGCCTGTTGCTTTTTAGGTGTTTTCTCTCTCATGGAGGGTTCAAGTAAGGCAGTTGTGGCTGTCCTCTAAGCCTAGTCAACAGTGTCCAAACAAAACGTGGATTTTTTTTTTTTCCTCCTCTGAAGAATGCAAGCTTAACACAAGCAAGAACTTGTTTCTGCAACCTCTCCTAGTTTTATCGGCAATTTTCTGGAATAAAAAAAAATCCCATGAACAACCAGCCCTTCCAGGGGAGAGGGCTGTTACTCTGGTCTCCCCACAGCCTAGTAAGATCTTTACCTTACTTGTGTTCTTCCATCCTGGAATGAGTTCTCAAACCAGTTGTAACCAAAGAACAGACTCATGGAATGGGAAAACTATTTACATCGCGGTGTCGTTTGTCCCACCTCTTCCATGTTCTTGCCCATGGCACACTGCCGCAGCCAGTTGGACTGGTACTCACCCAGAATGCTGTGGGTTCAAAGCCGTTGTGGTCCTCAGCCCCATCTCCTTTGCACGTGTTGCCTGGGACAGCTCTTGTGAACACCTCGACTTTGTGCCGTTGTGGAATGAGAAAACTTCCTGAAACACTGGAAAAAGACTTGTAAGACAGGAAGCTTATTTCCTTTTCTGCACTGATGTCTGGTAGCCAGCAGCTCCCTGTCTGGAACAGCTCCCTTCTGGTGGAGAACCAGATTCACAGCATTATTCCTGGGGGTCTGGCTGATTTGGTGTCCTGTCTGAGATAGTGGGGCTGATTTTTCTTGGTAGCTGGCTTGTGTTTCTCGTGTGGTCTCCCACAACGTGGTGTTGTTGAGAAATCATAAATGCTCTGGTGAGCGAGCCTGGTGTTGAGCTTGTGGTTTTGATAAACGCTCAAAAGAGGTAGATTTTGCAGGTACTGAGCTGGCTGCTATTGATTAGATGCCACACAGTGCTTGGCATGCTTGACACTCCCTAGGATTGCTAGGATCCCGTGTTCCACAGCATCTTGTCACTAGAACTCCTGTAGTCCGTCAGTGTAAAATCATCAAGGCTTTTGGGCTGGATCTGTACCTTCCCCTGAAAGACTGACATCTTTCCAGCATCAATATTAGACACACATACCGTGAGGACATTCTGTCCCTGTTTTATTTTCCCTTCTGGATTAGTGTGGTGACTAAGGTTCTGGCTAAATTGATGCTTTTCAGTTATTTCTGTTTTTAAAATCCTAAACCATTATTGATCCAATTAATGATCACCCTGTTGTGTTTTTATAGGCAAACAAAGACTTGTTAGAGCAGATGGAAAGAAGGTAAGAAGCTTTTTTTCTTTTGAATCAGACTAAAATAAAGATGCAGTTTTGTTGGAAGCGGGGTTACTGTTGATAGCTAAACTGCCATCAAAGCTTAACTCTCTTTTTCCTAATCCTCACTTTTGATTTCTCAGAATGAGAGAGAGGGATGATAAAATCAAGACTGTTGAAGAGCTGCTTGAGGCAGGACTCATACAGGTGGCTAATAAAGAGGAGGAGCTGAAGGTAAAATCTCCCATATTATCTTTTTATGGGGAAGGAGAGATTAAGTGCCCTTGTGCAAAGTGTACGTTTGAGTACTCATAGCGCAGTCTGAGATTATTCCCTTTGAATAGGAAAAGCATCTTGTGAAGACAAGGTTAAAACCTTGTTGGTAAGATAGATTAAGCATGAGCGTTGACGGCCTAGAGTAAGTGCTTATCTGCTGTTCTGGAGCAGATTTTGCTAGGATGAGTACCTGGTGTCTTTTGGAATGAAGCAAATACGTCTCCCAAGCTGTACGTTTGGACTAATCTGCAAAAAAATCTGTTTTAGGAAAGGGTGTTTTGTAAATACTTGGTAGTATGGGACTCCAGCATCTTTTTGCTTACTTGGTGATCTGAAAAGTTAAATGGATTATAAGCTAGTGACACTTCTGTGGTGATGCTAAAGCTGTTTCCTTCCTGTTCTGTTTACAAAGAAGCTAGTGATGAGAAGTCTGGAAAGCCAATACAAAGATCCATGTCTGTTTTCAGCTGGGTTTTGCTGGAAACCTGTGTCTTCTCTACCTGGACATAGCCAAGCCAATACTCACTTTCTTAATGTCCCTAAATTCCAAATGAATCCCTGACATCCCTATCCTGGGGAGAGGTTGCACACTAGCAAACTATCAGATTACTAAACAGCCAAAGACGTGAGCACATCACTCTGATGTTTCCCTGGACTCTAGCTTCCTGTAGATTGACGTCTACTCTGAGTTGTCCGTAATGAATAATTAGTCCATGGAATACTTTGGCTCCAACTGCTGCAAAGCGGAACTCTTTCAGACTTTCAAAGTCTTTCACTTGTTCTAAAAGAAATGACTTTTCTGTCAAGCTTAACACTTTTTTTTTCCCCAGCAAATGAGTCTTTCATTATCTGTGTGTCTGCTTTCAAAGGCGCTGCAAACGGAAAATTCATCTTTGAGAAAAGAACTTCAAAGTCTGCAAATTCAGCAATCAGAGCAGGTAGTACTTTTCATCTAAAACTTTTATTACACCTAAACTAAATCTAAAAGAATCTTGCTGTGGTTGCAAAAGTCAATGCAAAAAGGTGAAGACATCTTTGAAGCCCGTTGGCAAAGCACCCTATTTTCTTCCAGTGTTGGTCTGAGCAGCGATACTTCTGTCAAATGCTTCCTTTTGCATAAGTGTCAGGAACATGGCAGAGATAGAGGTTCCAGTTCAGCGGTGGTTCTGGGTTGGTTTGAGTTTGCCACTTACTGCAATGGCTGTGGATTCGTTTTTTTCAAGAAGCCTAGTGCAGCAAGCATGGCTGGTAGGCAGTTTATTCTGTATCAGCTTAATAATGCATATTTGAGCTTTCTAATGTTAGTCCACGCTCGTACAGGTGGTGAGGCTTAGCCCCCTTCTGTTGATGTCTCTGTTCAGTGACACTGGCACAGTATTATCACTTATTATCACTTTTGATAAAGCGTGCTCGGTGTTGATTGGGAAGTACTTTCCCTTGACGTCCCTATCTGCTTGGACAGCTCAGGAGAGCACTTAATGTCTCGAAAATCCTTTATGGGAGATGAGAAGCACAGTAAGTGTGGAGAGGTGTACAGTAGTGCCAGTATGAAGAGGTTAGCTGATCAGATGCTGGTCCTGAACCTCAACCTCTCCTGGTAAAGATGGCGTGGATTTGCTTTTGTTTTCCTGGAACTTGCAGCAGACTTGGTATTACTGGTTTGCCAGGAACTGGAGACCAACAGTTAATTTTCTCAGGAGCAGCCAGACAAGTAAAATTGTTAGGCTGCTACATAGTTTACCCAGTGCCAGAGAGCAGCTCAAGCTCTCTACTCCTTACCCCTCAACACTTGCAGATTTGTTTTCCTGTCTTCTGTTTTTCTAAGTTGAAGCTCTGTTTTGAACAGGTTTCCTTCCAGTCACTGGTGGAAGAACTCCAGAAAGTGTAAGTTACTGCACAGATTTCACTTCTGATTGTTACTTCTGTCTCTCTCTATTCCATGACTACAAGTGTTTTACTCCTCTGAAATGATTTGCGTTTAACTGGGTGAAGTACGTGTGTGTGGCAGGAAGTGTTATCACTTTGGAAACATGTCAAGTCAGATCAATACCTCTTGAAAAGCCAGTTGCTTCTCTGCTAAGCAATTAACTTCATAAGCCTAACTTTGACTAGATGAGGAATTGCACCAAATCGCCTTCAGTAGGCACTGCAAAAGGAGTGAGCTCGTTTGCTCTGTGTGTGTGTGTGTTTGAAGTTGATAAATACTTTGCTGGAATGTCCAGTGAAGGCTGAAGTTAAGTGTGTGTCATTCCAGGGATTAGCGATGCTGTTATTGTCTAAAAATGCAAATTAAGGTATCTATTTAGTGCGTCGACTACTAGTTATATAAAGCCAGCTTGTTCTGCACTATTCCCAGTCTTACTCCTCCTATTTGTTTCTCCTGCTTGTTGTATCTGATTTGGGATTGCAGTGAGAGGTGGCACCCGCGATAGCAGGAGGTCCCTCTGTGGATCCCAGAGGCTGGTGAAGTGATGTGTTAGCAGAACCAAAGCTTCTGTGTTTGCTCAAGTAGCGCGTTTGTTCAGCCAGCTAACGGTGTTCCCCTGCTCGTTTTAAGGATCCATGAGAAAGACGGAAAAATAAAATCAGTGGAAGAACTCCTACAAGCTGAAATCCTTAAAGTAGCCAGCAAGGAGAAGACTGTTCAGGTATCTTATCTCTGCAATATCCACCTTCCTCTCTGTGTCACTGACTACCATTTATTTGTTACTGCATGGCATTCTATAGTGATGAATTTGTAGCATCCATTTTTGTGGCGTTTTTGTGTTTCCATTGTCCAATCCTGTCTGTTTTGTCATTGAAAAGGCTTTGACACAGGAAATAGAGGCTCTGAAAGAAGAAGTAGGAAATTCCCAGCTTGAGATGGAAAAACAGGTAAAATACCTTAGTGCCAGAAGTGTGAAACAGCCTTGCCTTGGATGCGCTGCTCACTCATTTTTTGTTCTAGTGTGTTTTTCTTTCACTGGTGAATGTCATTGGGTAAGGGAACTCTTTAATGGTAGAGCTGTGCTATTCTTGGATATAGAGCTGTAAATATGTGCTGCAGCTACTGCTGTCCTTCAGAAACCACGTTTCTCTGGATGCCCAAGCTTTTTGGACTTTTAGAATGAAATTTGACAAGAATTGCTGTAACTTAAACCATTGTAGCATTAGCTCTGGCTGGGCATATTGCATACTCTCCCTGTAGTAAACACGAAACCCTGGCACATCCTCTGAGGCTGGCACCTTGGAAATCTCAAGTGCTGAAGATACTTCTCCTTTTGCTGACCTTCCTGTGTTGCTAGAACAATACTACTGGCCCAAATAGTATCTGATTTCCAGGTAAACCTAAGACTGTTTTCTTTCCAGTGTCCAAAGAAAGCCTGTCTTGGCAGAGTTAAGTTTTACTCTAGCTCTCAGGAATGCAGAAGTGGAGGAGTATTGGCTTTTTTGGCATGCGTGCTGTCTGGCATCCAAAACACCGGGAACTTGCGTTTCCTTAGGGAGCCCGTTCTGCAGGCAGCTCAATCCATCATGCTGTCAGGAAGTTTGCTCGCTTGTTTGTGTGGGTTGTCTTTTTTTTTTTTTGTCTGTGCTTTTTTTTCAATCTTTCTAGCTACATTCCAACATGTCTCCCCCTTTTTCTTCTTTCTTTAGTGTTAAAGTTTTGTCCTTTTTAGGCAAAGCTTCATAGAATGCGTTTCCATCTTGGGCTTTTCCTCTAAAGCAAATTCCCAGGAATTTGTATGTTTTTTCCTTCCCTGGAACTGACACAGAGCCCAGAACAAAATGCAGTTTATAGTTACAGTCTCTGGAAAGCTGCATATGAGGGATACTTGCTCCAAAGGTGATGTATAGGTGGCTTTTGGTATCCTGCAAGCAGAATAGAGGTTTTTGGGAATGTGGAAACTCCTGCCATGTTGTGGTAGAGGACTAAGCAAGCTATTTTGCTAGAGATAGCCACTTTCAGGCTTTTCTACAAAATTCAAAGAGAATATTCCCACAAAATCTGGTTTCTTCAATCCATGTTCAGCCTCATAACAGGAATTTAAGGGAGCACTGACATTGCAGAGAGCATCTAAAAAGCCCTTGCTTGAGCAAAGGTCTAAATGACCAGAGGTGAGCGCTTTGATTTCAGCTGCAATTGCTAGTGAGATGGTTGTCATCATCTGTGTCTGCTTCTTCGACAGTCTTGTGTGGCAGGAGGGTGCTCCAGTGGGCCTGCATGTCTTCCCATTTGCACTGTTTCCTTTTTTGCTCTGGAAGTCACATTTTAAGTGTGGAGAAAGTAAATAGTGCAGACACTGGGCTTCTCATAATTTGTTATCCCACAAAAAAGAAAGTGTGTGTTTATGCTTACATAACTGTAACAAATAGTGCCTATTTTTGTAATGTCTAATGACTTTTTTCCTGTTATTTTCCCTAAAGCAGTTTATAGCATTTATGTGTCTTCTCCATGTGCATTGAACTGAAGTACTGTTTATTTTCTTTAGGTGTCGATTACATCACAAGTCAAAGAACTTCAGACTCTGTGAGTACAGTTGTTAACATGTCAGATCTGCTGTGTGCTCTCCTCGCTTCCCTGCTCCAGCCTATTTTAAGTTAAAATGTTCTTGTCTGATGTCTGTGCTTCACATGAAGTGAACCAGGCTGTTAACACTGATCTGATAGTTGTCCTTATTAAATACCCGGTCCTGTCTGAGACAGCAAACGAAGTGAAGTGCTGCGTGGCTTTGTGAGCCCCTATCAGCCTGCAAGGGATGAAATTCAAGTCAGGATGGAAGGATGTAGGCAAGGCTCCACGGCAAACTTTGGTAATGCCCATGCTGTAGCCGGGGGGATAAATGTGTATTGAGTCACTGTGGTGTCAGTCCCTCGTGTCCCCGAGTGGGGAGGGAGGAGGAAGTATTTTTAGATGAGGAGAACACAGGTATGTGAGATCCCTGCAAATATATTTATCGGCACAGAGTTTGTCTGCTTTCACTTGAGGAGTAGCACCATTGATCAAGGGCGTCTCCTGCTAACGCAGACTCACGTGGAAGTGTTCACCCCTTGATTTTTAGTGGGCAAATTACTCGTGCCTTTGGTCACAGATGCTGCTTTTGTTTGTTACGTGCTGCAAAGCACAGGGCGTCTTTTTTTCAGATGGATAAAAAAGCAAGGACTTATGCTGTGTGTCTATATGTTTTTAATGGTACAGGTTGAAGGGGAAGGAAAAGCAGGTGAAAACCATGGAGGCCTTATTGGAAGAGAAGGAGAAAGAGATTGTTAAGAAAGGAGAATGGCTGCAGGTAAGCTTCCTTGGTATTCTAAAGGGAGATAAATTCTGTTGTGATATTTCTGAGTGTGGAAAAGTTACATTTACACTTCTGAACTTGCTTTTTTTTTTTTTATTTTTCCCCAAAGGGTCAGAAAGATACGATTGCACAATTAACCAGTAAAGTTCAGGAGTTAGAACAACAGAACCTGCAACAGGTACAGCCTACAGAGTGAATGTAGCGTGGGAGTGCTACTCAGCTGAACTGGAAGATTTTGATTGGTTTTTTTATCTCGTAAAAGGTTTGCATTGGCTTCAACCTGCAGAGATATTTTAAATCCTACTTGACTAAATTGATGGAACCTGCAGTGCAGAGCCCACTAGTTCAACTGTTCATTCGAAACAGTTGCAGAAGTTGCAACTGGCCAGAATATTTTGGCTTTTGATTTCTTGACTTGAGAACAGGCAACTGGACATCCACGAGGCCAGGTGTTACTTAGTGGAAGAATTTTTCCAATAAGGCGGTATCCTAGCTCAGTTGAGATTTTTCTTGATGATAAAGGGGAGAAACTGAGTTGTACTCTTATTTTGGGTGGATGTCTAGACAGGCATTTATCCCAGGGGAAGGATGGAATGGAGAGAAATTGGCTGGTGTGAAGTTTGGGATGCTTGGTGTAAGCTGTGCTTCTGCAGTCCATTTTGTGTTTACATATTCTTCGAGCAATGTCTGATGCAAAATTCCTGGTATTTCTTTGGCAAGTGTCTTGCAAGCTGTGTGGTGCCCCTGCTCGCTTGTTAATTTCAAAGCTTTACTGTGCCATCAAAATGAGGTTGGGAATTGCTTTGTTTTTCAGGTACCTGCTGCATCCCAAGTCCAGGACCTGGAGAGCCTGTGAGTATTTTTAGGAACAGTTTCTCAAGCGCCTCTGCTGATAAATACATATTCAGGGCTGGTGTTTGTCTGAAATTGGAATGTATGAATTGGTTTCAGGAATTTTATGGGCTTTGCTAAAATAAGCTGTCAGTGCCAACGGACGTGCACCAGCCAGCGTGTCTGCTGCTACGTGTAATAGCCGGCGTCTGGCGTCCCTGCCTGGCGTGCCCAAGTAGTGGTGCTCATATTTGTGAACGTGAACGACTGCCCAGGGCTCTGCTAACTCGTGCAATTGCTGCTACCTCTTGTGTCTAGTGATAATTTCTCCTTCTGTTTAGCATTTTTGAATTCAGTGTCTATGCCTGAGTTGGTAAAAGCAATGAAACAGATACAGTTTGCCTTTTTCAGTCGGAGGATGCAATAGCCAGTTCTCCAGCTCCTGTTTTACAGGGAAGCGCTGCCAGACTTTCCTCTGTTTTGACTCTACTTTGTCTGGCTGCTCGAAAGTCAGAGGAAGGTTGTATGAGACTGTGCCAAAAAGGGTTCTTGTCTTCAATGTGGCTCTTGTAATGCGCTGCCCTCTCAGCAGGGCTCCCCTATAGCCCATACGTGGTATCTAAGGCAGCCTCACCTTTGGGAGACTGTCCCTGGCACCTTCAGAGCCAGCTAAGTGTTTGCAATACATGTTGTTGCAGCTGGCATGTATTTTTGTTAGTTTTCGTGGTTTGGAGCCATGGTGCACTGTGTGGTTTTTTTTTTTCCTCCATGTGCGTGTGCTCTCCTTTTGGCTGATTGTTATATACAGCATACAGAATTTATTTATTTTCTGCTGTTGAAAACTGTCCTAGCTAGAGTGTCTGTCCCTTCTTAGCATAAGTTCTTAGTTTAACCCTTTTTTCTTACTTTCTAAACTATCTCTGCAGGTTGAAAAGGGAAGAAGAACAAATGAAGAAGTTGAAAGCTGTAGTGGAAGAAAAAGAGAGAGAAATTGCAAGCCAAGTAAAACAATTGCAGGTAAAGTTTTGATAGACAGTATCTTGTGTTGTAAGGAGTGTATGTATTGTGAGTGTATACCTAGATGTATACATGTGTATGTATTGCCTCTCTTCTCTCAACAGGATATGCAAAAGGAAAACGAATCTTTCAAAGTTCAAATTCAAGAATTGAAGCAGGAGAATTGCAAACAGGTACAGCTTCCAATTGCAGTGTTACTGAGTGAAGTCAAAGGGGGTGATCGTAGCAGCTTGTTGTATGGATGGCACGGAAAACTATTAGTTGTATTGACCATGCAAATCCAGGGAAAGCTTCAGGGTTGAATTGCACTAAGCCAACTTTTCTGGCTATTCTCTACCTGTTCCTGCTTCCCTTTATTGTGTGAGTTTGCAGCCTCGTGCTCTCTTATACCTGCTGTGTTCTTGTCCAGCTTTTCACCCTTGTATTTACACGCTGTATCACAGCCTGAGTTCTTCTGGCCAAAGGAGGCTGGGCAGGACTCCCTCGAAGGCCCAGAGTACAGCTGCTTCGTGTCGCAGCAATGCCTGGTTAACAAGGCACATCACGCCCTCTGCATCTCTCTGCTGCTGATCTGCTCCTAATGAGTTTCTGATCTGTTTGTAGGCATCTCTGGCTGTCCAAAGCGAGGAGCTTCTGCAAGTGTGAGTACTGCCAGAAGTTGAATGCAGTAGATAAGCGCTTCATTTCACTTATTGCTCAGGAAATTTAAAAGAGGAAATACATGCCAAATGTACCATATCAGTGAGTGAGAAGTGGCCAGTAAAAAAAAAAAAAGGTCTTTATTACCTAATAAAACTTGAACATAGAGATTCTGCTCACGCTAATAATCCTCAGCTGCAGTGTTCTGCAGACATTGCTGGCAATATGTTGTGCCCACAATGTAAGCAAGCCATGATTTGATTCAATTTTAAATGCATGCCAGCTCAGCTGTGTACGTCTGAAGAGTTAAACGTTGGTGTTTCAAGCAAAAGTGACAGGCTTTTTTCTTGAAACTTCAGCTTAGTAGCGGGTTGCTCGTGTTTTAAAATCATGTAGTGGAAATCTCTTCCCAGGGAAAATCTTAGGGGTAAAAAGTGTGTTATAACGTTGAGCTGAAGCACACTAAAGAACTATGTGGAAGCTAATGCCATGCTGGCTTCTACTGTGCTACACAAATTGCCGCTGTCACGCGTTTTTGGCGGGCTGAATTATTTTCCTTTTAAGTTAAATGACTTAAATTGTGGACTAGATGCTTGAAAAAAGAATGCTCTTATCCAGCAGGCAGTGCCTGTTTTGTGGCTTTGTACTAGTGTGGGCTGGCTGACTGATCCTCATCTGACGCGTTGCCTTTCCGTGGCCTTGATAAATGTCTGCAGATGATTGTTGTAGGCAAACAACAGCTTTACAAGGGGCTTTGCTCTGGCAGCCCGCAGTTCACAGAGCAGTGGGAAGCAAGTGGTACTGCCAAGGCAGTGAGAGCAGCTTTTCAAAGGCTGGAAGGGAAGGGAAGTTAGTGTATATGGAAGGGTGTCAGTGCTTCATTTGAAATTTCTTAATATCTTCTGACTTATTGATGGTTCTTTCTGCTTAATTCAGGGTTGCAGGGAAATAGAAGGAAATCACCAGCCTCCAAAACGAGCTCGCCTCTCAGAGAAATGCTTTTGAGCAACAGAGGAAAAAGAACAACGTAAGAAAATTCTTCCCCTGCCCACCCCTCAAAAAAAAAAAAAAGCAAACCCCAGAGAACAACCGAACCTGTGTGCACAGCACTCCTCAATGCCTAGGGTGTTCTGCTAAGAAAACATTTCTGACTGTTGTCTGCTGTGTTGTGTCCCCTGGACACTCCTCTCCTCTTTCCTCGGGACTGACTAAGCATACCTTACTTTACTGCTCCAAATTTCGTCAGCTCTTTGCCAAGTTGCTGATTTGATGAGAGGGGGAAGACTTGCTGGGGAACACATCGCGTAGCAAATTCTCAGACTTGGATTCAAGCCTTGTTAGCCCTGTTCAGAAACATGTCCTTTGCCAAGGGGGAAAGAAGAGGGGATTTGCAAGGAGGGGGTGAGAGGATGAAGGAGGCTGTGCTCTAACCAAGGTATGGCGCTTGTGCGGGGACATGGGAGGAGGCATTGCCTTCAGAGGTCTCAAATCTGGCTCTTCCCGTTCCTAAGTGTGACTTATCCTGATGTTCTGAAGAAGGTGAAGGACAGGGAGCCTTCCTTTACAGCAACCATCGATGGGTTGTTTGTGGGTGGAAGTAAAGATTGTATCTTCCATCACAGAGCTGTGAAGTTACCTCCTTGTAGTACAGTACCTGTGCAGGGCAACAGAATGGCATCTTTTAAGTTATGTGGGAAAAAAAAATGCTGAAATGCTGGGTTTTTAAGTCGCCTATCTCTCCTAGATGGCCTATAAAATCCAATGAATACCGTGCAATAAGCTTTATTGCTTAGAAGTGGGATAATATAAGGAAGATACACAAGGAATACATTGAAAGCATGAGCTTTTGAGCAAGTAGTGTTGCTTAAGAGCTGAAATAAAGTAGAGAAAAAGTGGCTGGGTACTCTCAGAAGACAGATGAACGGGAAAGATAGAAACATATGTGTGCCTGTTTCCTGAGGAACTGCAAGGTCTAAGTACCCATTGTGGTGCAGGCAGAACCCTGGCTACTGGTAAGGGCAGACCATTCCCGTAGGTCCCGGCTTCCCACATTGCAATTTTATCCAGTCTTGTTTTTCTGTCCTGTGAAACAACCCTTAGGATAGCAGGTAAACAGAAGTGATAAAGCAAAACTAGTGTAGGTACACACTAGGATTTAGATGCCACTTTGCATGGTGAAGTCAAAAAATAACAGCCTTTCAAAAATAGCCCTTTGCTAAAGCAGAGGGCTCTGAGGGTTGAAAAACATAAATTAAAATCTAAATCCCAGGCGCTGTAATCACCTCCCTGCCAGACCCACCATGCTTCCTAGATAAGAGCTGCGAGGCTGCTCTTACAAGAGCTCTCAGCCTCCTAACTGAGCTCGCACCTTGATGTCTTGTGAAGTACACGTTTGACGACCTCGCCAAGAAAGATGCCGGAGCGCAGCACGGCGCGGTGGCGTTTCCATGTGGATCTGGCGTGTGCTCGCCACTGGTGAAACCCCAAAACCTCCCAGGAGGGCACTGGTGAGCAAACCAGTTTTCTTTGGGCACAGTGGAAGAGAGCTGCATGGGTAAATGCTGTGAACCAAGGCCCCTGAGCTTTGTGTTTCTCAAAACGTGGTAGGTTTTGGGCTGAGGCACGAGGATCTAGGCAGCTGGATCTGGCTGCAAGATCAGGGGCATGAGTGTGCACACCTCCATGTATACTGGGGTCCATGCTGGGTTCTGCAGCGCGACATGCTAACACTCTGTTGTGTAATCTGTGGTTTGGTGTCTGTGTTCCTCACTACTTTTGAAAACTTCCCTCTTTCTTCTTACAAGTGCAGTCAAAGTGCGAGGTCCCTGGAGCGATACGCTCTGCAGTAACACTTGGATCAGTTTTGGATATGGGGACAGGTTGGGCAAAAATTGGCGTTTTTTTGGGTTTCCCTCCCCCTCCTTTTCATTCAAACTCTTTGAACATCACACTTGTTTTTGCTAGTGTATGTCATCTGACCCAGCAAAAGCATCTTGCAGTAACCAGCATTTAAATGCAAACGGTGAAATGTAATGCAAAAATATATCTCTGAAGTAAAAGCGGAAACAGTTTGAATATTGGCTGAACTGAAATCATTCTTTCTAAAAATGATTAGGACCTTCGGGAGAAAAACTGGAAAGCAATGGAAGCATTGGCATCAACTGAAAAATTGCTGCAGGACAAAGTGAACAAGACTGCCAAGGTTGTAATGTTAACTGCTAGAAACGATGCGTTAAGCTAGAAGCAGATCTGCAGCTGGTTTTTGAAATGAAATGGAGACATTTAACTTTTACTGCAATTTAAATATAGTCTGTTCTGAGTGATCATTCATATACTCTCACCTCTGCTTCTTTGTTGTCTTTAGGTTTCTTTTTGTTGTTTTTTTTTTTTTTTTAATCCTTGATTTGTGGGCATGCTGATTTTTGATTTCTGTGTGCATAATTGTTAGAGCTGTCGTGAATGTTGTGGTTTTTTTTTCTCTTTGTGGGGAGCTCTAGAATAAAAACTGTGCTGATGAGCAACCTGCTTTCATCTACTGGGCTTTTGCTGTGCTTGAATAAGTTAATTGGACCCGTGAAGAACTAGGACTAAATTATTATTTAAAAACCTGGGAACTTCTCAGGAAAATGGTGCCACCACAGCTGTGAATTTCCTCCTTGAAAACACATGAAGCTCGACATGTCCTGTCAGAGCCGATGTTCAAAATGATACGGGGTGTGAATTGTTCTGAAAGGAGCTTCCATTTGCTAGGAGCCCGATTGGGTGTTCACTGCCACTGTGCAGATTTCAACAAAAAGCATCCAAATAACTTCAGAGACATGAGTCGGGTAGCTAGAAGCAGATGAGCTCTGGTTTGGGATTGCACGTGTCTGTGTTTTGGAGACGTCTCCGCTCTTTGCTCGGCCCTGTCTTCAGGGAAGTTGTGTTCCTGCTTTTGCCGTGTGCTAACGCTCGCCTGCTTTCTCTTGCAGTCGGAAGACCATCCAACAGCCCTTTGCCACTTCTCAGTGGTTCCCAAATTGCTGAGAACTAACCCACTTAGCACAACTTCACAACCTAATGTCTCCTGTCTGTTTCTGTCTCTGAATCTCAGCCTACTAATGCCACCGATCTCTTGCAGCAGAGGAACTCGGAGCCGCAAGGCGCAGTAACACCGATGTCAAATTAAAAAAACCCACCCAAATATTTAGTGAAGGATTTCTACTGAAAGCTGCCTGATGTGCAGGGGTTCAGGGTTTTTTTTGTTTAAACTTACATGAGAGCCTGAGTGTTATATGGCTAAATTAAACTGATCTGCCGCAAGCACAGCAAGCAGATGCCCTGTGCCTCCTCTGCTTTTAATGTTAAATAAATGGTAGAGGACCGATGGATCTGTGGTGCCCCTTGGCTCTGTGTATTTATATTTGCAGAGCAATGACAAAGAAAACCTGCAGATTATCGTGCAGCTCTAATAATTATCTCCCATTGCATCCAAGCTTGGAAGAGGAGGATGTAAGGGTCTCCCTCTTGAGTACTTAAAAGTAATATTTAGAAGATAGTCTTGCTTTCTTGGCCTGGTTCAAATGTGCATTAACACAAAGTTTCCTTTTGCCTTTTAATTATTCATTTTTGATGTGGTGACATTAATTTATGGTGACTTTTCCCCACTTCAAATTGTTTAAAATAAGTATGGATTTAAAAAAAAAAAAAAATTGTTGCTTGGCCAAACTCTTGGTTTTGAGATCACTCGACTTGAGTGGCAGGGTTGGTGTGATCTGTGGATGCAGTTACTCAGCACAGTGTAGTTGGTGGTGTGAACAAGTGAACGATGGTGTGATTTCTGTACAAACAGGCTAGACTGGAGGAGAACTTGATGAAAATAAAAGCTTAAAAGCATGAACAAATGTGACGGCCAAATTCCGAAGCAATTCAGTGTCAATTTTTGAAGCAATTTACTGACAGTCTTAGAGACTATAGAGCCTTTCTCACTTAAACGACTTTCTGGGTAAAGTAAGCTACTCTAGGTGTAAAAGTGGCTATTGCCAGGTCTGTGGAGCACGTTTCCCAATTTCACGTGAGCTTTTCTCTTGTTTTAGGAGAAACAGCAGCATTTGGAAGCTGCTGAGGTGGAGACGCGTGAACTACTCCAGAAGCTGTTCCCTAAAGTCTCTCTTCCTTCTAACATGGTAAGAGAAAGGGCTCTTCTACCCTACTGCTGGGGAGCTCAGGTCCTGCTGTGCTGGACAGTCTGGAGCGTTTCCCCGCAGTCCCTTCTGCCCCAGGACTTTTGCAGTGGGACATGAGTGTCTTCTGCTGGTAACACCTGTACTTGCTAGCAGTGAAGAGGCAAAGCTGCAGATGGTTACTTGGAGAAAAGTGTTAAAACAACAAAAAAGTTATTGTTATCCTTTTTTTTTTTTGTTGCCGCCCCAACATCTGTTTCATCTGCCTGTGTTATCTTGCGTCTAACCGAGAGAGTAAATTTTCAAGGGCGGATAAGGTCTGCTGCGTGTTTGCTTGCTGTCTGGCACGATGGGCATCCATCTTCCCCGGCTGCTCTGCAGATAACAGCTGGCCTCCCTTTTCCAGAGGGACTGTGCTGCCTCAGTGCCAATGAATACCCCTCAGCAGGGTTTGTTTTATTCCCGAAGTTCCTTTGAAAACCACTGACTTCCAACTTTATGTTCTCGGTGGCTTTCGGTTGTTTGCGGGTTCATATGGTTTCGATTGTGCGAAGGATGTGAAGTGAGGCTGGAAAACTGGGGTCTGCGTTTCATTTGTAATGTGGAGAGGTTTTGAATATTCATATTTAAAATTATTCTCAAATGTGCTAAAGTTAGTCTCCTGATGAACTAGAAATAGTCTTTAAAAAGCTGTTTCTGTAAGGTTATAAAGCAGTCTTGCTAGTGAGGTCCCTAGAATTCACGTAGCAAGCGTCTGCTTTAACTGCTTAGGGATTTTTGGAAAAACATTCCTGTAAGTCTTCAAATACTTCTTGTAGAACCTTGACACTTACAGGGGGCCTCTGTCACCCAGTTATATTTCAGCACTTCCAAGCCCCTGTGACCTGTCTCGCTCGTAACCCCGTGCTCCCGGCTGGCCGCCCGCTGGCGCGGCTGGGCGCTGTGCCCTGCTAGCTGAACAACTGCTGCCAGGCTGTGTGGTCAGCTCCAGGGACCGAGGGGACTGAAGCACTGCTCCGTAAGCCTGCAGTTGGGAGGCAGATGTCCTGAAGATAAGATTTGTTGAGGATGTTCTCAGCTTTAACTGAATGCTTTTCCCAACAGAGTCACAGTGAATGGATATGTGGGTTTGAGAAGATGGCTAAAGAATACTTGAGAGAGGCTTCGGGATCTGAAGACGTCAAGGTAGGCACAAACGGTGGACAGCTTCCTTGTGTGTGGCATAGCACGTTTTCAGGTATAAATCTTGCAAATTGTGCTCTGGATTGTGAAGTTCAGATTGGTGAACGGGTGACAAGAAAATGGTTTTGGAGGTACTTGCGTCTCGTAAATCAGAAACGTGTTTGCATCTTTGAAAAGGAACTTGTGGAGCTGTGAAAACATTGGGGAAATTCAAAACACCTGTTCCCTTTTTTAAAGTAATGGGTTTGTTTTCAGGTGACTCGGAGTTACTGCAGTAACTCATGTAAAGTTTATGTTGAGTATTGAGAGCTGTAGGTGAACGTTGCACTCAAAATGGGTGCATGGGTGGAAAGACAGACCTGCTGATGTGAATGATACCAGCTTGCTGGTTGAGAGAAGAGAAACAAAAGAACTCAAATCCATCAGCTTGAGACGTGACTCGTCTGGTCTGTTTTCTCCTTTGCCAGGATACGGAACAGAAGCCGAAGGAGGCCGAGGAAGTGCACATGCTGCAACTGGAGTGTGAGAAATACAAATTGGTTCTGGCGGAGACGGTAAGCAGGATGCCTGGTCACCTGTGCCGTGTGATTTTTGCAAGCTGCCTTTCTTCTGCTGGAAGCTTTCAAACCCCGCTCTCTTCCTAGGAGGGGATTTTACAAAGGCTACAGAGGAGTGTGGAAGAAGAAGAAAGCAAATGGAAGATAAAAGTTGAAGAATCACAGAAGGAACTTAAACAGGTATTTCTGAAGACCTGCTTTTTGCAGCAGCGAGTGGTTTCTGCTTGAAGTCGCAGAGGGTGTTGGAGCACTTGAAGGCAGGTGTAGAACAGCCCTGGCTGCCTGGTTTGGTGCGTGTGTGACCAGGGGATGAAAAGGTGAAGTCTGCAACCAGTGTAATAGGGATGATTCCTCCTTATAACAACAGGATTTTTGGTGCTCTGATACTTAGTTTCATGCTGAAAGTGACTTTTATTTTTTTGAGGAACATCTTCCCATTTTAAAAAACTAAAAAGTGGAGGAATTGTTGGTGTCTTGAGATTTGTGTGGCTGTTCCCATTGATGTCTTTAGAGTAGCAAGAACAAATGAACAGCACAAGTATAAAAGGTCTTTGACCTTATGGCAAGTCTATGTCACTGTCCTTTGCAGGTGATGCAGGAGGCAGCTAAATAGCATGTAGTTAATATTACTGCTGGCAGGACAGGAAGCCAAAGATTCAGGAATGTACATGTGTCCCATAAATGTGCCCAGGAATATATATTTTTCTGATCCTGGCAATTCAGACTGTGTTTCTCTTAAGTATCTGATTTTTTTCAAAGTCCATTTGTGAACAGATACAGACTCTTTGTGCTAAGATTTAAGTATCATATAATCAAACAATTTTTTTGAGACTGTTAAAATAGTGCTTAATCCATTACAGTCAATTGATTACACTTGAAATTGCCTGCAAAGCTTTCCTTTTTAGGAAGGCTCTGTTGCTAGCAAAAGCAGTAAGAAAAAAGCCTTTTATGTTTCTTTCCTAATCTAGAGTTAAAGTAGGTCAAACTGGGTTTTTTTTGGAAAGAAAATATTTCTAAAGTGGTTGCGCTTAGTAAATCTGAACTCCAGAGCATGAGCCTGGAGCAAACAGATGATTTACAAACATCTTGTTTGAGGGTCTTATGAAAGGCTGTCAGATCATGAACTATAGATGTGCTACCGTCTACTGTGCTTACGCAGCCTCTACGAAGGGTAAATATACTGGGTTTGGCTACATACAGTACATGGATGGAGGTAGCCTTCCCTGTTTAGGAAAGGTATTTCCCTTACCATGACTAATGGACAACTGACTTAGTCCTTTATACTCCAAATCTTTAAGGCATCTAGGCTCCAAGTATGTCAGAGAACCCATTTTGTTGGGAGATGGTAGGAGAGATGTTTTAATGGAGGCTCAGTACACTGACTTATTCGAGTGAGCATCTTATTTTATTTAGTCACTGTGATTTCATGCTTAATATTTTGAAATCGTAGAAGCGAGTTTGTCTGTGTATGGAGAGTTTGTCTTAGACCAACCCAACTAAATGATATGTTTGTCTTTCTTGAAAACTGCAGATGCGTTCTTCGGTCGTTTCTTTGGAGCACGAGGTGGAGAGGTTAAAGGAAGAAATCAAAGAAGTCGAAACTGTATGTGCAGGTGTTTTTTTTTCTTTTTGAACCTTTCTGTTACTTAAAACATGATTTAGGCTTATGCTGTAAGTCCGAACTTCCTAGGGCTTCTCTCCTCCAAGTGGTGCAGCCTGTGCTGCACTTCAAACTGAATCTTTTGGCCAGTGTTTTTAAGAAAGAGAAGCTGGGTGCTGGATATTGTCCTGTTTTATACTTCTGTGCTCACCCACTGGGCTCTTTCCTTGTGAGACTGAGTGGTTTACTGCTTGTTGATGATCTTGGGCTCAACTCTTTTTCTTGTTATGTTTTTGAAATGTAACAGTTTAAATCTGTGCTGTGCAATCGCTGGATTTGAAATGTTCTCTAAATGTCATGGAGTATTTGATAGAAATTCATAGCTGCTAATAAATCAAGAAAACGATACTTCAAGAAAGTGTTGAAAACATATGTTTTAACTCTGTTTTTCTGTTTCTAGCTTAAAAAAGAAAGAGAACACTTGGAAAGTGAACTAGAAAAGGCAGAAATAGAACGATCTACTTATGTTTCAGAAGTCAGAGAGGTAAACATAATTGACCAAACTGTTCTTTTTCTTTTGGTTACTAGTTGGCTGGCAAACTAATCTAATGCTTAGCCCCTGTGGCTGTTGAGTTTATATGCTTGTGACCTTAGGGTAGAGCGGCACACTAATAACTGAGTAGAAGAAAAGTGGGCATCCTAAGGAGACAAATCCTAAAACTCTAAACTTCATTTCAGCTCAAAGATCTGTTGACTGAATTGCAGAAAAAACTTGATGATTCATATTCTGAAGCAGTAAGACAGAATGAAGAGTTAAATTTGGTAAGAAGCTTGTTCTCCGCTGGGCACAAACTAGGCTCCCAGCATACTTACGAAGCGGAGACTTATTTCAAATCCTGTCTGTTCTGCTAACCTCTTCAGCTTGATATTTTTGTCCATTGCAATCATTTATGTAGTCTGACTTTTACAATTTGTCTCTTTCTCTGCTCCTAACAATAGCATGTCTGGTTCTTAAGACTTTTTCCCAAAGTCTGTAAGACTTTAATTCCTGAAACTTCTTGAGAATCAATGTTTTACAGTGTAGACGTTTGCGACAGCAAATATAATGTCCTTGCAGCAACAGAAGTTGTGCTCTCATCGATTTAACTTGAGGATTATTCTCTGGTTGCTATTTTTCCCAAAGCTTTTGAGGGTGAAACTGTGGTATCTGTGCTCTGACTGGGCAAAGCCTTTTGCGTTCTCCTCTGTATGTACAGAAATTGGCCAAAACCAACGTTAGATTAATTCAGAGTATCCAGCCATTCAGCAGCTGGCATCCTGATGTGGCTGAATAGCTGTGCTGGCTTGGTGCATGCAATCTGTTACAGCGTTTCTGGCTAGCAATGCTATCCAAGCAATAATGCTCCTGTACCAGGTTTTCTCAAGAAGGAGTTGGATTAACCGAGGCCAGACCTATAGACCCAAAGATGCATGGTTTTCCAGTTTGAGTCCTTTCTCTTCTCATTTGTTTCAGTGACGTGTTGTTCCTTAAGGTTGCAGGAACGATCAGATCCTTCCTCTGCTTGTTTGAACAGTGCTTTCTTGCTCTTGAGCCAGAATCGGGGAAGGCTGTCTCTGTCACCATGTCTTTGGTGGGTTTTAGAGTAGTTGATGAGACAACCTGTCACTGCAGACTGAGCTGCTGATCTCACCAGAGTACTGCCACTAATGTAACTGGGTTAAAATAGTTGATTTTTAAAAAAAAGAACCCAACAAACCAACACCAAACCCACAATAACCATCTGCTTAAGTTAATAGTATGGTTGGGAAGTCCAGTACAGCATTGATTAGCATCCTGCCTCAGCAACCAAAGCCTCTCGTTTTGAAAGCAAGGGAAATGGGGATTGAATGCCTATCTTACAGTTAATCAGTAAACGCCAACCTCTCCAATATTGGAGGCAACAATCTATTATGTCTGGAACAACAAAAGCTTAAAAAGCCGAGCTCCCTGCTAGGGAAGCTTGACTCCGCAATCTGATGGTGCTGTGCTGGTAGGAGCGTGAGGAGGTGGTAAACAACTGCCTTCATGCAGATGGCTCAGGAATGTCATGCTGTCCAGTGTATGTGAGTGCTTTTTGCAGGAGGCTGAGGGATAGAAATGATGGGATTTCAAAATGCATTTCCCAGTAACTTATAAGGTGAGCAAGGAGAGACGCTGAAGCTGCAGAGGAGCTCAACAGTGCTTTCCTGAAATGTAGAAAAAACAGCATCCACCAGTCCCGGTGCTCCAAAGGGGGAAACCTTCTAAGGGTGAGACAAATATAATGTGTAGGTTTGAAATCAGTGAGAATTCAGGGCTCTTAGTAGCCTATTGTTCACTTCTTTAATCTCCCGCTGGCTCCCAAGAAGATTGACAGCAGGAGTAGTGAACATTAGCACAGTGCTCTTCAGAGGCACAAATCCAACAAAATTGGCACTCGAGCTTCTTGTTAACACTCTTATTTGAGGCTCAAGCCTTAAGTGCTGTGGCTGGTTCTGTATGCTGCGTTGAAGAACAATCAAAATATTCTTTCAAAAATGTTTATATCCTTTAGAAGGCTGTAGTTTTAGGGCAGCCAGTACAAAGTGTTCATCCCTCTTGACTGAAATAATTTCACTATTTTTTGGATTGAATCTAAACACAATCGACAACTTAATATACCCCTGTCAGTGATTCATGCCTTGATGTGACATTAACAGACTGGTTAAGTCAACATAGTTGTAGAAGTGGTGCTTTATTAAGACGACGAGTAGAGCTTTTTAGTTTATTCAGCAGTAAAGTAACTGTTTAGCCTGAATTAGGAAGATGACAATCTAAATTTTTGCGTGTTTGCTGTGAATTAAGTCGAAGTCTGGGCTGACTGGTGATAAGAGTGCTGGAGAGGCTTATACTTTCAGTATTGCTAATATTCCTACTGGCAATATAGTTTAAAAGTTGAAACCACTTGTAATCAAGCTGATGCCAACCATGTCTTGTCTTCTGTAGTTTCCATTCTTTACGTTTATCTTTACAGATGGAGTCTCTCTTCCTTGACTGTCCTTGTAAACCTCATCCTACATGTTGACTAATCCGGTGTGTGCAATAATTGTTAGTAATCTTACTCCCTTTGCAGTCAGTGTGCGCTGGGTTAATCCGTGGGACAGACAGATGAAAATCTCTGTGTGTGAGGGGAAACTGATTTTCTTTCTTGTTATTTTGCAGCTGAAAACACAGCTAAACGAAACACTATCAAAACTCAAAGTTGATCAAAATGAGAGACAGAAGGTAGCTGGTGACTTGCCCAAGGTAAGCAGAGACCCTTAGCAGGTGCAGATCTAAATGATATTGAAACCCTCCAGATCTGTAGTTTTGCAGTGCTGGAAAAGGTGGTGATTTTGAGCAGCTTGAGCAGACTGCCTGCCCGGTGGGGTGTCTTACTCCACTCACTGGTTCCCCAGCTGACTGGGACTGTGGGTGTAAGAGCTCATGCAAGATACCTGCATGTCTGTTGAAACGATGAAAATGCAACTAACAACTCTGATTATCCTCCTTGAAAGAGCCTCTCATTCGTGTTAATTTTGTGCCAATGACAACAAGTGGTGATTTGGGGTTGACAAATAATTCTTTATTTAAAGAAACTCAGCCTAACAAAAAGCCCATCCCACAGCCCTACGCCCACACCATGGCCCAAAGCTTTTACCTCCAGTCTCAAATGGTAGTGGGTTACAAGTGTGTTTACAAGCCATCTGCTCGTTTGCACGTGGTTACAAATTGTCTGTAACTGCAAGTCTTTAAAGTTAGCTCTACGCAAGCTTGATGAGACAAGCAGGTGGGTTACCTCTGCTCTTCCTCAATGGCTGCTCTTGCAAGATGGATTGGAGTGGGAAATCTTTAAGCATGAGGGGTCTCAGTGCTGTCTGTCACCCCAGAAATGAACCTCTCACGGGAGAGTTGATAAATGGAGACAAGAATAGCCTGTGGAGTGGCTGAGGCTGACTCCATACTGCGTAACACCTTGTTCCTTCTGCCGCAGATGCGTAGTAAGAAAACGCGGCTGCGTTCTTGCAGGGCTGGAGTGGGGAGGTCTTGTCCTGGGACCAGGGACAGATGATAGCAAAAACACTGCTAGGAGGTGAGAAGACAAAGGAGACCTGCTGCAATAAGGTGTTTAAAACATTTTGCTTAGGACAGTAATATTGGATGTCGATATATGAAGTGAGCTGTCCTGATGTCCCTGGTTCAGGGTATATTCTCTATAAATGCAGATCTATGATTAGGCTTTTAGAGACCTGCCTGCGCTGTTACCCTTGCAAAAAAAAAAAATAAATTGCTGCACAATTTTTACCTAATAACTTGACAAGAGACTATTAAAGCCTCCCCGTAGAATTGCTTTCAGACGCAGGCAGGCTGACATGCAGCGTGCTGATTGTAAGGAGACATGTCAATCTTGGCAAATGTGGTGGTCCCCTGAGCAAATCTGGCATAAAACAGATTTCTTCCTGAACAGTGATTTCCCGTGTCTCCAGCGCTCTTGGGGAGATGGGATTTTGCTTCTCAGCCTTTGCTAATTGTTGTGCCTCCTCTGTTGCATTGTTGTGTTTTTTTTTTCTCTCCCCTACAGGCCCAGGAGTCTTTGGCATCTCTTGAGAGAGAAATTGGGAAAGTTGTTGGGGATGCCAACGTTATCGAAAACAGCGATGTTTGCACAGAGTCGGTGAGTGTTTCTTTTGCGTTGCCCCTGAGCGTGGGCTCAAATCTCATGCGAAACGTGAACTTTAGGAAGTGAGGTCCAGCAAAGGAACAGGACACGTTCTGCTGGTGATAAATTAAGGCTTGATGAAAATTCCTGTCCTACAACTTGTCAGCGTGGTGTCCTGGAGCTGTATCCCGAGGATGCCGACGTCTTTCAAAGTATTGAGAGTTCTGCTGTCATATGGATTATGACCTCTTTCCCATAGCTCAAATTTGTAAGGAGGCAAGGGAGAGATTCTGGATGTGAGATCTGGGCTTCGAAAGGGTTGTTGGTTTGGTTTGGGCAAAAGCGGGAGGAGTCTGGGGAAGATCCTCAGACTTGCCTGTTCAAGAAAAGAGGCTAAAAATAAATCTGCTAATTACTAAATGAGCTTATTAACTGTTGAGTTGGCACTTGCTGGAACATCAAAGAAAAGTCTTGCATGCCCTGTAACTCTGAGGCAGACAATGTCTCTTACCAGAACATTGACCTTTCTGGTCCTCTGTAGCTGTGGGCAAGAACCTGTCCTTAACCACTAGTAGGTGCTGGAATTCAACTTCAGCTGGTCCTGGCTCCTGGAAGTTTGTACTGATCTAGAAGTGGTCCAGCAGCAAAATCTTACTAGCCTGAGCTTCAGTAAACAGCAGACTTGAGCACTGCCTTGTGCAACATTCCAGATTGATGGTGGTTTTATATCCTCCAGTAATGGCATTGCAGTTGCAGGGTCTGGAATTGGGTGGACCCTTTCTAATTTTCACGCTTGCAGGTGACTTGCCTGAGCAGGTGTGTTGCTGTTTGCATGGATGATTGCTGAACTGCTTGTGTAGCTGGTACTCCGAGTGCTGGCCCTGAAGAGACACCACCTGTACAAGTGGTTGAGTTGTGGCTTTGGATCTGGGCTTCTCCGCCTCTGGAAACTAGAGCTTTCACACCAGCTTCAAAATAGCTTCAGAACAGCTTTCCAGAAGGCAGTTGGGAAGGGGAAGGCTGAAACAGATGCCTTCCCAGCACGTTTTACAAGGCTAAGTGGTGTCAGTGGAACTCGTTACCCATTTTCTTCTGACAGATGGAGTGGATGGAAATGCTGTTGTTTGAAGGGGGAGAGGAGCACTTGGTGGTAGGACAGATCATTTATATCGACTCCTTTTAGCTGCTGAAAATAAGTAGCTTCATCAGCTGCGAGAGGAAGCTGGGAGTCCTCCTGAGGAGTACTGTAGAAAAGCCTTTGCCTTTGTAGTCATTAGCAGAAACGAAACGGCTTTTCCAGAGTGATCAGTTGTGGATGTTGATCGACCCTTGTGTTGTGGGCTCACCGCATCCAACCCAGAGATGCAGCTGGGCTTGTGAGACCACGGGTGTCCCAACCCTGTGAGCTGGTTTCCTGGGAGGGATGGTAGGTCTGCCGAGCCCCCTCTTGTGTTGCTAGCAGAAGGCCAGCCTGGTGATGGGAATGGGTGCTCTGTGTCTCTGTCTGAAGCAGGCTGGAGAAGAAAAGCCCTTCTCAAACCAGTGCCAAACAGCTTGCTCTCCACTGTGCCTTTATGGCTTGTCTAAGTGGTACATCAGAACAGCGATGCTGTCAGTGGTGGTATTTGAAAGAGGAGAGATTTTGATGAGATCTAAGGAAGAAATTTTTTACAATGAGGGTGTTGAAACACTGGACCAGGTTGCCCAGAAAAGTTGTGGCTGCCCCATCCCTGGCAGTGTTCAAGGCCAGGTTGGATGAGGCTTTGAGCAACCTGGTGTAATGCAGGGTGTCCCTGCTCATTGCAGGGGGGTTGGAACTGGATGATCTTGAAGGTCTGTTCCAACCCAAACCGTTCTGTGATTTTTGTGACTGGTGACACTGGGGAGCCCTCCTGAGCTGGGTGTCACTAGATGTGCCCCGCGGTGGCCCGAGTATGGTAGTTAGATTTAATTGCTTTGGACTTAACTCATGTAACCCCTCTGGCTCATGTGTTACTCCGCTCCAGCTGTGTGGGTGCGTTGTGGAACGCTAACCAGGCTTCCTCCAGAATATCCATTGCTTTATTCTGAAGAGGAGTGTGGAAAAACAGTACTAATAAACCCATAATTAAGCCTTCATTAGTAAAAATATGTTAATTGTCTAAACAGCACACTTGACAGGTAGCCATTGGCAGAGGCTGGAATTAGAACGTTCTCTTTGTCTTATTCCCCAAGCCCTTTTTGCTGCTTTTTTTTTTTAGGGGAAAAAAAAGGCTGTCTCCCCAGAAGCCTAAAAACTCAGCTTAAAATAGCTCTCAGATAAAAAAAGCAAGTCTTCCAGCCACTTCTACCTAGCAACAGTGTCTCTCTTTTTTTTTTTTTTTTCGAGAAGGACCTGAAAACACATGTTCAAAAATGAGCATATTTGTTCCTTCTGTGTACTGGAACCAACCCACAAAATTGAGAAATGATGCTTGCGTAAACCCTCAAACACATTCTGTGTGTTTTCTTTAGACTCCTTTTCTTTCTATTTAAAAATAGCCCATTTGGTTTTTCTAATCAGCTTCCTTGTCACTTATGGGACTAGATGATGACTAAAGGGTGCCTTTTAGTGTGCTTTAAGTCGGTCATTTATATTCAGCAGCCTGCTTAGGCAGTAAACTTATTTTGAGGCTTAGATGAAATCTAATGTGCTTCCCCCCCCCGCCCCAGTCTCGGTGTAAAACACTCCAGCGTTGAAAACTGGAAATGCTGTATGCATAAAGCACGGTGGAGGGGAATCTCTCAGTTCAGCATCTGGCTTAGTCGCTGGATCTGCGATCACAGGAGTTCCCCGCTACCGTCCTCTTCCTCTCTTCATCCCCATATCCCAAAGACACGCTTTGAGTCAATGAGACCATGGGGCTGGGGCACAGAAGCGACTGCATAAGGTAGCCCTGTGCTCCTGGGTTAACAGGACGTGCAGTATGGCTGTGATCATAGAATCACAGAATGGTTTAGGTTGGAAGGGACCCATCCAACCTGGCCTTGAACACCTCCAGGGATGGTGCAGCCACAGCTTCTCTGGGCAACCTGTTCCAGTGCCTCACCACCCTCTGAGTGAAGAAGTTCTTCCTTATATCTCATCTAAATCTCCCCTCTTTCAGTTTAAAGCCATCACCCCTTGTCCTGTCACTAGACGCCCTTGTCCAAAGCCCCTCTCCAGCTTTCTTGTAGCCCCTTTAGGCACTGGAGGGCTGCTAGAAGGTCTCCCTGGAGCTTTCTCTTCTCCAGGCTGAACAGCCCCAACTCTCTCAGCCTGTCTTCATAGGAGAGGTTCTCCAGCCCTTGGATCATTTTTGTGATGAGCCCAAATCTATCGGTAACTGATCAAGATGAGCCCCAAGAGAGTTGGGGATGTGTCTGTAACTCAGGAGTAAATGCTGCCTGACATGAGTGAAGCCACAAAACAGAAGGGTGAGGAAACAAATGAGGGAGAGAAGAGCTTTTCCCAGAGATGAGGGCTGAGAGTGAATTGAAAGGCTCCTTCCTGCTTCTCCTTGTGATGGTTTCTCCGCTAATGCACAGGCACTTTCATACCCAGTGCTGCCGTTCGTTCGTTTGCTGGGCTGCTAATTGCATTTGCCTTTCCGCTTTCATCAGTCTGGGTAGGATCGCTGAGCAAATTCTCAGTCTTGACAGACTTGATTATTTTTTACTTCAATAAGGGTAGAATAGGTTAAGACTACCCTAATACAGATTCCCAATCATTTTTTTTTTTTACAGTAGAAAAATGTTTACCAGTTGCACTCGAGTAAGAGCTTTACAATATATTGCTTTGTTCTCTTGCCTGAGCCCGGAGTAGTTTCTATAATGGTGCAGGTGGTTGAGTTTGATTTACTGCCCACTCTGCGTTACAGCGAGTCTAGTGGCGTTTCCAGCCAAATGGGAGCTGGGAAAATGGCCCTCTCTGAACTTGCTCTAATTTCCCTGAAACTCTGGGGAGAGATTTGCAACAGCATTATGCATCAGTCTCAATCTGTTGGTAAAACTGCTCTCGGTTGGAGCGGAGTTGGCCGATGCTGAGCGCTCGCGAACACCTCTGAGCCCGTGTTGGGAATTGGGTACTTCTGTATTGCCGGCACCGAGGCAGATTTGCTTATTTTTAGCTGTTAAATTGCAAGGGAGAGCTCTCCTACAGGTTATCTGCACGTCTGCCTTAGGAGCTCGGTAAGGAGCAGTAGCGTGTGTTTTGGATGTGGAGTTCATTGTACGTCTCTGGAGGAGCTAATCAATAAAGGTAATAAACCGGGGTTTATATCCCTGTTAGCTCAGCAAGACTGGCTTTGGGGAGGAGGGCAGGCAAGAGGGGAAGAGTCTGTTTCGAGTTGTGACACTTCCCTATTCATAAACTGTTGAACTCTTTAAAAAAAAAAACAAACCAAATCCCAAACACTTATTGTTTAAAAAAACAAGCTCAGCATTTTCATTTCTCAGTGGGAAACCAGTTTCTAGCTCTTGGTAGCTTTCTTTTTCCATTTCTCTGCGTTGACTGGTGCTTAGACAGCATTGCAAAATCCTCATCCGAGTTGGGGTGTCACTGGCAAGCAGGGATTTCCCAGGGGCTTGGAGCAGAGGGTGAACCCGTGGGATAGCTGGTGGGCAGCAGCCCATGTCCCGAACCCAAAAGGGAGCCATGGGTGCTGCGGTGTGGGTGGGGAAAGGTGTGCATCTCCAGCCAGCTGTTTGAAATGCTTTCACAGCTGGAGCTGCCTTGTGCTTGGGTATTACATACTGCTGAGGGCACCATCCCACAGAGCCTCCTACAGACCTTGGTGGTCCAGCAGCCTTGTTGTTCCAGCTGCGGGGGTCAGAAGCCATCCCTCCTGCTGGGCGCACCATCGCTCTGCGTAGCAGCGTGGGTGATAAAGCACGTACTCTCGTCTGCATGGAGTTTTCAGCCAGGCTTGTGGGGATGTGGGGTAATGACTTCTGAGGCTGGAGCAGCTGTGGTTACAAGCACAATTCCTGGAAGCGGTGAAAGGAATCCTGGGCAGGGAGGGTGGGAGCCGGAGGTCAGTGATGCTCTTGTCAGCTTTTAGCATGTGCAGGTAATTCCCTGGAACAGGAAACTGCTGCTTGACTTTGAACCATGTTCTCTTTAAATGTGGCCATAACCCTCTGACTTGCAAGAATTGTTCCCATCTGCGCAAGGAGTTGTAATTTTATACAGAGGATCTAATTCTAGGCTTTCTTGGTAATTAGATTGTAAATGAGTTTTTAATGATTTTTTTTTTTTCCTCTTCTTCCAGGAATTGACTGATAAAAGACTAAATGTGGCGGTGAATCTTAACCAGGATGTAGGTCATCTCAAGAAGCTGCTCGTGTCAGTAAGCCAAATGCTGTCAAAGGGACGAGAACACTACCAGCTAGTAGGTAGGTGCAGCTGGTGGCCATCTAGTTGAACTGGGTGGCTGTCAGGAAGGACACTGGTCTGTGATGGAGGGCCCTGTTCAGTTTTAACAAGTCTGGTGTCAAAATCTGAAACTGTCCATGTGCAATTCATCAAAAGCTTCTAGTAGGCACCAGATTTGTCCCTCTCTTGATCCATACTTCAGTTAACTGGGACTAATTGCACATCTCCATGTCCTCTCTGGGCATGTAACACTTTGTCCTTCCCTTCTGCTACTTGCCACTTAACGCAGCAGGTTTCCCAAAGCTTTCTTCTCCCAGTGCCTGCGCCTTGTTTCCTTTTTCCCAACTACGTGAGCAAAATACACTTCCATGCTCTCATTGCTTAGGGATGGAGGATATCAAGTAACCCACTGGGCTTCCACTGAGTTAGCAGCAGTGGCTTGCTGTGGTCATGGGGATATGAGTATCTGAAGAACCAGTCTGGCGTGAACTCTTCATCCAATTATAGGCACACGAGCAAGGCTTTTATTTTAATATGCAGCCAGCTCGGAAAGCTGGGCCTTTGTGGTTGACTGCATCATGCTGGTAAACTTCTTAAATGGCCCAAAGTTAACTAACGGTCGGATAAACTTAAGACACTAAAGTTTCTCAGGAAGCTGATGCAGCTGGTGAACCTCTGCTGGGTGTGCTGCGAGCTGGGTCTGAGGTGGGTTGTGAACTGTTCAGTTTGGGAGGCAGCAAAGCCTCGGCACTCAACGAGCTGCTACAAGAAGCGTCAGAGCTCCCTCTCATCTACTGAGGATGGAGACTTGGTTTTTTCCCCTAATTTAGTTGTTTATTTTTTTTCCTGCTCCTGCCTCTGTCCTGCAGCGTGGGCAGCAGAGCTGGGCTTAAGGGCTGGTAACAGGGTGTTCACGGTGGAGTGAGGCCGGTCTCGTAGGATGGCCTTGGCATGTGTGGGAGGAAGGTCTTGGCTCTGCCTCGGCCTCTGCTCTGGGAGGCTGTTCTTGCTCAGCCTCCACCAGCCCAGCTCGTTCCTCGGGGCTTCGAAGCGGCTGGTGTGAGCCGCCGAAGCGCCGGGCTGGATTTGCTGGAGCGCTGCCCTTCGGAAACTGCTGGGCTGACGTGGTGTTCTGTGTTTCTCTTGCAGAATGAAGTCACGGGGGAATCGTTAATTTGAGGATAGCAGAAGGCATTGTATCATATTTTGCCAAATTAAAGCCTTATTTATGTTTCACCCTTTCTACTTCGTCAGAAACACTGAACAGAGTTTTGTCTTTTCTAATCCTTGTTAGACTACTGATTTAAAGAAGAAAAACCCGACTCTGTAGACACCTCCAGAGTTTAGTTTTATAATAAAACCAAACCTGTTTGGATAATTAGACCTTTACATTCCTGGAGAGACAGTAAACACATAATCTTTTATCTTATTTTGCTCAATAAAACTTGTTCAGAAAACTCCAACGTGGTAAAGTCACCAATGAGATATAACATTTTAATACTGATGTTGTACACTGTTTTACTTAATTACGTTTTTGGGATTAGCTGCCTCTGACTTCAACCTCAAGTAAAACACTCCTTTTTTTTTGTTGGTTTTTTTTTGGTTGCTAATGTAATCAGTTTTTGTAATGGTGTCAGCAAATAAAGGGATGCTATTATTCAAGGTGTTCCTGCTCTCTTCTTTTTTAACTGAATGTGGATGACTCGGGTGAGATTTCCACCTCTCCCCTCCCCGAAATGAGCATCAGACTGCACTTGCTGTCCTTGGTTTTGGGCAGAGGAGGAGGCAGAGATGGCACGAGCTTGAAGAGGCAAATTGAGGTGCTTGCAAACTTCAGAGCAAGTATTCCTTTTAAAGAAAAGGCACTAAATTTAAAAAAAAAAGTACAAAAAAGAAAAATCCACAGCAAACCACCGTGTGAACTCTGGTTCCATGTCGTGTATTGTCTCTGGGAAAAATCAGGGAGTGCAAAGAGGGAGGAATGGTTAGAAACATGGGATTGTGTGGCCAAGCCAGCTTTCGTGGGAGCATCAGAGGAGCCTCCCTGGCCACTGGCAGTGCTCAGGATGTCGCCATTTGCCCCAGACCAGCCTCTGGGATGGGAGTCTGTTGTGGAAGGAGCTTTGTGGGGGTTTGGATGCTCTGGGAACAAATCTGGGGAGGGACAAGGTTTCTTCTGTGGGTGTGGGGAGATCTACTTTGGAGGGTTTAAGTTAGAGGAACCCTTCAGTTCTGCGGGAGATTCTTCAATAAGCAGGGTGAGATGTTGTTGCTGAATTCTTGGTAATGCTTGAGGATGTGATTAGCTGAGGGGAGGCAACAAAACAGGTGAGGGCCAAAGTGAATTAATTACAGAGATATTCAAACTGCTCACCCTGAGCTTTTCCCACTCTTGCCTCTGTGGAATTTTTTTTTTCTTGTTAATATTTCAGTCCTTCACCACCCAGCCCCCTTGACCAGACAGGAGGTGAAGAAGTTTCTTCCTTACGTGGCCCCAGTGGTTTCCTGGATGATGCAAGTCCCGGTGAGAGCTATGAAATAGCACAGAAGAGGGAGAGAAAACTGAAAAACATGTTTCTTTACAACAGCTACCCTTTGGTTTCACCTGTAGCCATAAAACTGTCACGTTCCTTGGAGATGTGATTTCATTAAGGAAAACTCAAATGCCTTTAGTCTACTTGTTTTATAGGTGCTTTGAAGTAGAAAGCATTTCTAGTGCCAGTGACACCCCCTGCAACTAGATCTAACGGAAACCAGAACCCTGGAGGGTCTCCACATTTTCCCAAGTTATGGTCAGAGGCTGAGCCTTTGCAGATGTCTAGACACCCATTTTTTGGGTAAGTAGCAGCTTAATGGGTCCATGCAGGTTTGACTGGTTGGAAACTATTTCTGAACGTAACCCACAAGCTTCAGTGGTGTTAGTTTGGGCTGGAGTTGTCCGTGTTGCTGTCCTGCCTGTCTGGAGAGTCCCCATGGCCACCTCATCTGGGAAGCTCCTGTTCCTTGGAGCCATCACTTCATAAAATATGTGGTCGTGGTGGAGAGTAGACCTGAGTTTCTGCTGTCACATCCACTTTCTAGTGTGCAGTGGGGTGGAAGCTTGACCTTCTCCTGGATCGATACTCTTCTTTGGCTCCTCCATGCATGAGAGTCTCTTTTGGCTGTATTTTTTGCTCCTCTTGTTTCCCCTGATGGATAAGGGCAGTGAACAGCAAGGAATCTTCACAAGGAGCTGTCTCCCATTCTCCTTGGGCTCACCAGCTAACAATTCTCCCAGTATATGTGGGTAACTAGTCTAGGGGTGCTTGGGGCCTCCTGCTTGTCTCGCCATGTGCGTTGCTGGTTGGAGAGCATGCAGAGAGGGGCACCAGCGAATTCCCTCCATCGTGGGCCTCCTTCCCTGTGTTCAGGTGGGGCACTTGCTTCATAAGAGCCTGGAAAAGCTGGTGGCGAGACATGGATTGGACAGGTACGAAGTGGAACAAGGTTGATTGACCTGTATCTACCCTCAGCATGGTGCCACGATGGTAGAGCAGGTTGAGGAGCTGCTGTGTTCATCCTGCCTCCTTCTCCAGCAGCTCAACTGGAACTTGGCACAGGTCACATCAACTGGAGCTTGGCACAGGACTTCAGGAGAACTGAAGTCTCAAGGTAAAGTGATGTCCCTCCTTCCTCAAAAAGATGGTTTTGCAAATGCTGTTGGTGCCTCATCCAAGGGAGAAACTCTCCTGGAAGGGACAGTGGTGCCTGGAGAGCCTTTGGGTGCAGCCCTCAGCGAGCGTGGAGATGGAAACCTTGCTGTGTCTCCAGGGTCTTGATTTTCTATTGGGTTGAGCTGCAGAGCAGGGGGTGAGGGTGCTGCTGCGGTGCTTAGTTTAAGAGGGGAGGGATTTTCGGCGTCATTCCCTTTCTCTCTTGGCAGAAACCCTCCCAGGAGAGGATGCGCGAGACCTTTCGTTTTGAATAAGTGCAGGTTTTTATTTTGCCTTAGGAGACGTACGGGGGTGTTAAAGGCAGTGGTAAAAAGATCCTGAGAAAAGCCCAGCTGAGCAAACCCTAATCCCCTGCCTGGAGGGTGGGGGGAGGTTAGGCTGGCTCCCCGGGAGCAGCGGGGAGGGGGATGGATGCTGTTTCATCTCGGTGTCCTCTCCAGCCCTTGACAAAAAGCAGCTGCTGGCAGTTGTCTCTCAAATTGGGATGGTTTTAGCTTGCCAGTTGGGTCACTAAGAAATCCCTCCTGCTTGGAGCATCTGCTGAGATAAAATGTAAAGACCAAAAAAAAATTTAAAAAAAAAAAAGGTTATGCGTGGGAAGCTGATTCATTGATGCAAAGGTAGAGCTGGTGCTCGGTGTGTTTTCCCAGCCTGCTGCGAGCTCCCGGTTCTCCGCAGAGCTTCATCCCTCGGTTTCCAGCCGGGCCAGCAGCCTGCTCTGCCCGCACTAGAGGGAGACAATGGCTAATGGATGCGGAGATGCTTTTCTTGGAGAGAAAAAAACCCCAAGCGGGGATGTTGGGATGCTGGCAATGGATCTGTTGTGTGGGTTTTTTTTTTTTTAACTGCAAGGCTGGGGGGATTTGGTCTGGGAGAAGCTGCGTGCTATGCGGTGCCGCTCATCCCTGAGCACGGACCTCCCCTCCTTCCCCGGCTGTATCCAGCAGCTGTGAGCAGTGAGTTGTTCAGCTTGTAGCTGCTGTTGGGTTTTCTCGGGCAGTGACTCACTCGGCTATTTGTTATTGCAATTAAAAAAAGAAATCTCATGCAACTTTAATTCAATCCCGAATAGTTCGAGTGATTTTGCTACAAAACCCCTTTGCGATGACGCAGCTGTGTTTCCTCCACCGTGGTGAGTGCTGGTGGTCCATGTCACCATGGTCCCCATGTCCTCGTTGCTTGGGGTGTGACCTTGGCCCCTTTCTGCAGCACTCACGGTGCTCTTGGTGTCAGCTGGGAGTTTCCTTGTATCATTTGCTGGTTCCAAGGCTCTTCCCAAGCTGTTTTTGGCTGGGCTCTGCCTTTCGCCTTGACCAGTGGGGTTATACTGGGAGGCTCTTCTGCAGAGCTTGGGGGAAGCTGTGAGCAAAGAGAGCTGCTGCTGGCCAGTTGAGACTTTCTAAGGGACATTCAGAAGGTGAGAAACGCCATTTCTGCCTGCTTTGTTGGCTTTAATGTCTTGGCTAAACTTAGCCAGGATGCAAAGTCAGGAGATAATCCGACACCAAGGTAGATGTGGGCATCAACATGCAGGAGCTTTCCTTCATCACCTGGGCCGTTTGATATACTCAGATTTGTTTGATTAAACATCATCATCATTGGATGAGGCTTTGAGCAACCTGGTGTAGTGGAAGGGGTCCCTGCCCCTGGCAGTGAGGTTGGGACTAGTTTAAGGTCTCTTCCAACCCAAACAATTCTATGATTCTGTGTTCTCCATGGTAAAAAGATCCTGAGAAAAGCCCAGCTGAGCAAACCCTAATCCCCTGCCTGGAGGGGGGGGAGAGGTTAGGCTGGCTCCCCGGGAGCAGCGGGAAGGGGGATGGATGTATCCCTAGCTGGAGAGGAAAGGTGTTGGGGAGAAAGAGTCTCTGGTAATGCTATGGGATGCTAAGTCTCCAAAAGCTTTAAAATGAAACAGAGATAGCTTGAATGCTGGAAGAGTAGTAGTTTTCTTTCACATCCTTTTGGAGACCTAGCTTGCTCTGACAAACCTCCGTGGATCTCGAGCTCCTCTGCTGCAGTGTCCTGAGGTGGCTAGGGGGGCGTGATGGGTAAGGGATATTCCTTGGAGGGAGATTTAGCCAAGTGTCTTCAGTGAGGGGTGTTTTTTGGTTGGTTTTTGTTTTGTTGGGTTTTTTTTCCCCATCGTGGAGGGCATCTTCTCTCCCAGATTTGCTCGAAATAAGACTGGACTAGCTTCCTGAAGGTTCAAATTATGCTGAGAGCTCTGCCTGTCACAGGGACAGGACTAGAGAGCTGAGAGGTGGCCTCAGCCAGTTAGAGCTTCACCTGGATGTTGTCCTCTGAGACTCCACCAAAGCAAAAAGGTCAGTAAAGCCTCAAGGAGTTTCCTAAGTCATCGTGAGACACCAGGAGTACAGGGACAACCCATGGGAACGCTGAGACTTGCTGGAGTGATCGCTGAGATAGGTGGCCCATGGTGTTCCCCCCTCCAAAACCCACCTCTCCTCAATCCCAGCCGACCCCAAACCAAGTGCACGTCGCCAAACCAACGACAAAGCCCTTGTGAGGGTGGGTGTCGCAGACATCCCTGGTCTCGGCAGCTGAGGAGGAAATCATGCTGGCCTGATGGAATGGTTTTTCCCTGAAACTCTGTATTCCCAAAAACAATTTCTGTTTTTTTTATGGAAGAAACAAAAGCCATTCGCAGGACCAAAGAACTTGCCCTTATGTTTTTTACTGCAGGGTGAGACTTTTTTAACGATAAGTCAGTTGAAAACCATTGTAAATGAAGAACGACTCTTCCAAAAAACCTAAACCGTCCCCAACTGTTCAAAAAATTGAATTCCTCTCTTTCAGTGGGAAGAGGAGGGGGGAAAAAAAAAGAGATTATTTTTTGATTTTTCAAGGAAAGAAAACAAAATACCTCCCTTCCAAAATACCTACAATGACAACTTACAACAGCTTGGGAACAGTTTTGCCA